CCCCCCCCCCGCCCCACTCTTTCGCCTGCCCCGTCCTTTGTCCCTCTCCCCCCTCCGCTGCCCCGCGCTGCCCCAGGGCAATGGTCTGGTTCGACGGAGCCCCGGCCGTGGCGCCTGGCATCGCCAGCTGCCCGGGCCCGGTCCCGCTGGGCTGCGGCCAGGGGGCCGTGGTGGCCGCGGCCCCCATCCGGCCTGGGCTCTGGGTGACCGTCACCTCGGGGAGCCTGTCCCTCTGGAGCAATGCCGTTGATGGAGCCACCGGCGGCGGCGGCTTCACTGGTGGCTGTGTGCGCGTGGCCTTGACCGGGCCGCCTGCCTGGCCGTCCGGCGCGGCCGGGCCCGCGCGCAGGCACTCCTTCCCTCCGGCCCCCACGAGGCCGGATCCGCCTCCCGGAGCCGAAATCGGCCATTTTGGTGGGTCACCTCCCCTTGTCGCGCACCTCCCCCCCCCCCCCCCCCCCCCCCCCCCCGTCTCGCGCCCGCGCGCCGCGTCGACCACTGACTGACCGTGCAACCGCAGGCTTCTCCTTCCCTGTGAGCCCTTCCTCGGGGTGCTGGCGCAGACGCCCGATGTGCCGGAGCTCTGGCGGCTCTACCTGCTGGACTGGCGCACCGGCCGGCAGCTCCAGGCCCCGATGGTCATCCCACCACACCTGGTGCCAACTGCCGGTGCCGGTGCCGGGGGCGGCGGCGGCGGCGGCGGGCACCTGGCCGCCGGGCTGGCCTTCTGTCCGACATGGGACCGCCTGGTCCTGGCCCTGGCCGGGCCGCATTCCGCCTGGCTGCTCTTCGCGGACCTGTCCTCCGGCGATGATGACGATGACGAGGGGGCGTATGGGAGCTGGCCCGGCCGCCGGGGCTCGTCGGGGCCCGCCGGGGCTGGGTCCTCCTCGCCGGGGCTGCTGGGCTGGCTCCGCCGTGGCCTGCTCGGGCTCGATGGCGAGGGGGAGGAAAGTGCCTCGGCTGGGCGTGCTGACGGCCCGGCCAGCAGCACGGAGCTCGAGTACCTGGGCACTGCGCACTTGCCCCCGGGGCCGGTCCTGCGGCGGGCCTTTCGGTGTCAACTGCCGCGCTCGGCCGAGGGCCGGCCCACGCGCCTGGCACTCGCGCCCTCGGGTCTGCTGATTGTCGGCCTGTCGTGGTGCGTACCCGGTCACACTCGGACGGCGACCGCCAGTAGTGGCCTGTTCAGAGGGGGGGAGGGGGGGCGGGGCGACTCCTTTACCACCTGTGTCCTGACGCCGCCTGTGTTCCCCAGCGGCGATGCATTGGCCTATCGGTGGAGCTTTTCCGGGGAGCTGGGCTGTCCGGGGACCGGGCTTGCCGAGGGGTGCTGCTCGGAGGTGGGCTGCCTGGAACCGCTGCCCATCGCCGAGGCGGCCTCGCCCGATTCCTCGGCCCCCGGCGCGTCACCATTCTACCCCCTGTCCCCGGGCGAGGCCGAGGGCCTGGGCGCGGGCGCGGCCCCGGGCCCGGTCGGCCGGGCGGCCAATTCTTTCGGCTTCGCCAGCGGCCCGGAGCCGGGGCCCGGCGCCGGGGTCGAGTCGCAGCCCCGGCCGCCGGCGACCCGGGCACCACCCCCGGCCGCGGGCGCCACCGCGCAGCCTCCCGACACGGCGGACACATCGCCGCCGGGGTCGGCCGTGGCCGAGTCGCCCGGGGTCGACGCGCGGCCTCGATGCCGAGGCCGGCCGCTGGACTCGGTCGGCCGGCTGAGCTGGCGCGACACGGCCACCGTCCTGGGGGCCGAGACCCTGCCCGGGCTGCTTGTGGCCGGGTTCCGCCGAGATCCTGGCGGGCCGAATGGCGTCACTCTGACTGCCCTGTCGGGCAACCCGGGCGCCGAGGACCGCCTGCCCGGAGTCGGTGCGTGGGCCATGCCCCCCTCTCCCCCCTGTGCAGCCTGTCTCCTGCTTGCGGCCCTTGCCATGGGGCTGGCTGGCTGGCTGGCTGGCTGGCTGGCTGGCTGGCCCGGATGCGCGCACGCCTGCACATGCACGCCCCTTCGCTCACATGCCCCGCTCTTGCCTCGTCGCGCGTGGGCCGGCCCGCCGCGTGCACACCCCTTGCAGACAAGCTGGCGGCATGCATCACCTCGCTGGCCTTCAGCGCCCCGCCGCCGGCCCATGTGTCGCTGATGTCGGCCGCGCGTGCCGACAGCCCGGTGGTGCTGCTGGTCGGGCACCTTGGCGGGGCGGTCAGCATTTGGTCTGTCTCGATTGCCGGGCCGGAAGAGCCGCTCCCCCGGCAGCGCGTCAACACGGCCCTGCTGTCGGCCTGCCTGCGCCCGGCGCTGCCGCAGAAGGCCCTCGATGGCGGCGGTGGCGGGCCTGACGGGCCGCCGGGGCTGCCCGGCGTCTGCCTGTATTGCCCCCCGACGCCCGGGGTGCTGCCCGGGCAGGACGCCCTCTTTTGGAATGGCTCGCACTCGCTGCTGGCCCTGACGCCGGTGCGGTACCTGCACCGGGGGCCCGAGGGCCAGGTGCTCGGCGCCGAGGCGGCCCTGCAGCCGGCCGGGGCGGCTGGCCTGTCGCTGGTGGCGGGCGACGGACGCCAGCACATCCTCCCGGTGGCGTGGACCGTGCCGCAGGCCACCCTGGCCACCAGGTCGGCCGTGGTGTCGCGCCCGGGCGGCGGGTACCTGGTGTTCACCGGCTGGCAGGAGCCGCTGTCCTGCACGTCCGGCCTGGCGGATGTCGAGCTCACCGGGGGCGGGCTTTTGCCCCACACGGCCGGCGGCGGGGCCGCCATCCGGGAGTTCCTCTGCCGCGGGGCGGAGCTGGCCCCCTCGACCGTGCCGCCCTCCCCCTGCCAGGTGTGGGAATGCCCGCCCCTGCCGGCCTCCTTCGACGACTCATGCGGGCCGATTCAGGTGCGCGCGGCCATTTGCCCCGGGCACCGGGCGTGCTTCTTGTCCCCTCGCGCCGGCCGATGGGGCTGACCTTCTCCGTGCTGACGCCCCGTCGCAGCATGTGGCCCTGTCGCCGGATGGGCGGGCCCTGTGCTTTACCGGGGTGCGTGGTGGCCTGGTGGTGTACATCGCCGGGCCGAGTGAGCCGGTGGGCTTCTCTTCCGGGACCTGGCGACGCTTTTCCAGCGACTCGCAGGAGCGCCGCATCCGGGTCCTGGCGGCGCCGGTGTTCGTCCGGGATCCCCGGTGCGTGAGCTCGGGCGCCGGGACACCCCTCGCGGGGCCCGGCCCGGGGTCTGCATCAGACGGCCCGGGCCCGGAGCGCACGCCGTCCACCCGGCCGGAGGACGCACCCCCAACGGGGGCCGGCTCACTGCCGGGCTCATCGCCCTTCTATCCGCCGGCCATTTCCTGGGTCGTAGTTTTGGTGGCCCTGGTGGACGAGCAGCCGAGTGTATGTGCCAGCCCTGCGTGCTCTTACTTCAATGTCCACAGCATCCGCTTCTCTCTTTCTCTGTCTTTCTCTCTTTCTCTCTTTTTCTCTCTCTTTCTCTCTCTTTCTCTCTCTTTCTCTCTCTTTCTCTCTCTTTCTCTCTCTTTCTCTCTCTTTCTCTCTCTTTCTCTCTCTTTCT